TCCGGCTGCGCTCTTCTTCTGCGGCCTGCCGACCGGACGCTTCTGAGCCCGGGGCGGAGAATCCTTCCTGGCTCCCCGCCTGGGAGCGCCGGCCGCCGCCGCCGCCGCGGCCCTCGGGTCTGTGGGGTCTGGGGTGGGCAGAGGTTTCTCGCGCGTCTGTCTGGACCACTTGGCACGGGGAGCTTTGCCTGGCGGAGAGGGGAGGGGCGAGTGAACAAAGCGTTTGTGAAAAGGGCAAAAGTGTCAAAAACAGCGAACACTTATTTGCAGTTTCCCCTCCATCAGGAAGGGCAATGGCCTCCGGGCTACAAACGCGCTTTTAATTTAACTGATTCATAAGCCGGTTGACTAATTAACAAGATCATTATTAAGCTGCATCAAGCATTGCAGCGAAGGAGACTGGGGCCTACATGTGGAGCCCTGGCGCACACGAGTCACCGTCAGCGTCCACCAAACTCACAGGCAGCCAGGCTAAGCCCACCCCTGCCAAGCAGCCCGCTCGGGTGACCCGGATCGGCTCTCTCCTGCTCCGGCTGCTGGGAAGGCTGCGGGACATCCCTGCTTTTCTCTACACCCCCCCCCCTCCATCCCGGCCTCAAAATCAGGCCAACTCCATCGTTCACACGCGATCAGCACCGTCACGAAGACGGGTGCGAGCGCGAGGAACGCTCTGGGATGAGACAAACCGCCCTCCCGGAAATAAATCTTTGGCAACGCGAATTCATCAGACCTGCCAGTAAAGCTCTAACAAGCCACCCATCGCGTGAGCACAGGGGTGCTGAGTAGAGAGCAAGCGAATGGGCTGCGTTTTTAAAGCCCCGCTCCTGTGGTCTGTCCGCCTGCGCAGACGCAGACACCTGCGCGGGAAGTCTGACACTCTTGAGCCACGGCTGCTCAGAGACGCACACAGCGGGTCGCACAGGAACGCACACGCCCCTCACGCGCGCGCTAACAGGCCAACCCAGACACGTGCACGCAACCGGGCCTACCACGCACATAAGACAAGACCGAGATAGTCAAGCTCAGCTCTCTATACGCTTGCAAAACCACAGGCACACTTACTCTTACCCTACCGAGCCACCCCCCATCGCAGACCCCGTGGCAGCCTGGATGCAGCAGCCTGTTACTTCTCAGCCCCTCGAGCACTTCAGTCTCACTCGAATGCGATTTAAACTCCAAGTCAAAGAGCTCTGCTGTCTGAAGAATTACAGGACCTCCAAAGTAATAACCAGCAGAGTTCTCCCTCCCTCTCACGGCGACACTCCAGAGGAGGGTCTGGGAAAACCACACCGGGCAGTCGGCGTTCGGGGGAGAGCGGGCGTGAGTCTGCACAGCAGCCTGCCCGCCGGACGCCCAGCCGGACGCCCCCCAGCCCAGGCTGGTCCTTCAGGAGGCACGCGCCGCGCCCGATCCGCCATCCCCCCCCGCGGACTCCTACTCCTCTTCCCAGTGCGGCTGTCCTGTGACGAGCCGCTTCTGAACCTTCGCTACAACGACGGAGTTCGCTCCGGTCTCCGCTCCGGTGACAGCGCGTCGTCGGGAGGCGAAGGGAACTGCTCTCTCCTGGGTGAGTCTGCACCCGCGCTCAATTTGCTGCGGTCCAGGACTGACTAGCCCGGCTGCGCTGGGGTAGACTGCGATCATCACACACACCCAGCGCTGCACTTACTTCACTGCTCTCTTAAGAGCAGGAAGGCAAACACAGGGCGATTTTTTTAAGACCTCGGGAACAAATCTGAAAATTCTATTTTCGGTTTATGAATTTACACCACGAGAACAGTTTTTCACGAGAAAAGTCGCAGCTTTCGGAAACAGAGGGATGGGTGTGCTGTGCTGAGGCGTCCAGGGCTGTTATCGGGGGGTAGAAAATAATTAGACTACACGCCTCTGTAACAACACAGCTTCCTTGCTCTGACAGAAGCCCTTGCTGTGATTCGGCTCAGCATAAAAGCCCAAAGATGCAAAAAACCACAAGCTGCTTGAACTGTGGCCTCCCTCGCCAACCACAGAGTCACCGTGGCTGGTACGTAGTGGGGTACATGTGAAATCGGGGGTCAGATTCCCACGGCTTGAGCTATACTCATCAGCAGCTGACATAACCTGCAGATACCTCCCTTAAAATCAAGGACCCTATAACAGGAATAATAATATAGAGCATATAACTCGCCACTGGACCAGCTGTCCTCCCGGTGTAACAGGACCGGACCTGACCCACTGGACCAGCTGTCCTCCTGGTGTAACAGGACTGGACCTGAACCACTGGACCAGCTGTCCTCCTGGTGTAACAAGACTGGACCTGAACCACTGGACCAGCTGTCCTCCCGGTGTAACAGGACTGGACCTGAACCACTGGACCAGCTGTCCTCCCGGTGTAACAAGACTGGACCTGAACCACTGGACCAGCTGTCCTCCTGGTGTGACAGGACTGGACCTGAACCACTGGACCAGCTGTCCTCCTGGTGTAACAGGACTGGACCTGAACCACTGGACCAGCTGTCCTCCTGGTGTAACAAACCCTGAACTTGAAGCTAATGGCAGTGTAATCACTTTCCCTCAAAAACACAATCTCAGGGCTGAATTTCTGAAATGCTCCTTTATAACTTTCCGTTGCTGACTAAACTAGACGCAAACTTATTAAAAGGAGTCAACCGTTTTTTCTGCTCTTATGAAGATGCTTACATATAAAAAAAAATAATGTATCAGAGCTTAGGCCAATGACAATTCTCAACAAACTCACTAAGAGGAAAACAGCCTTTGTTTAACTTGGAACATGACATGATGATGTAAAGCTACAAAAGGTACACATTACACTATTACATAACTAACAATACACACAAATATCAAATTTCTACTATTAACATTACTATACTGCGGCTTCAAAAGGAACGATATGCATCTCGTACAGCAGCATGGCTGCAAATTCATTCCAAAAACGTGTGCCGTCACTGATAAAGCAGCAGCCACACAGAGGATGCAAAACCAACCACTTTCTGCACAACACCTCTGATAGAGATGCAGCGCCGAGGCTTCAGATTACAAATGACACTTCATTTTCACAGATAAAACAGCGAACAAAACAGCAGCAGGTCTCGCCTCCCCGTTTTTCCAACACGTTTTTAATAAGAGGAAGTTCTCAGTCTGCGGGGGTACCCGTCGGCACGAAGCCTCGGATCGGGGGGGCACCTGGGAAAGAGCTCCCGCACTCCGGCACCGGGGATCATACTTACCCCTGCTGGGGAGGTGTCCCGAGCGCAGCGGACTCCGGGCGGCCAGGCACTCCGGCTCGAACCCTCGGAACTCGTCGCCCTGCGAGAGACGGGACAGGATCGTCAGTGAGGGCGTTAAAACCGCACAGCGCGCCGAGTAAGACTGGACTGGGAATGCTGGGAAAGAGCGCACTAAAAAAACGTGGCGTTAAAATAACACCACTCCCGGACCAGTGCAGAGCAGGGCGACGCGGAGATGCTTTAATACAATCAATACGGACAACATCAAGCAACACTTCATTTCCATCAAGGTGTAAATAGCACTGTTTCCAACATCAGAACGCAGAGGACGGTACAGAAGACAGCCACACAGCATGAACCACAGACCGGAGATGGGGCTAATGTGAGGACAAGCTTTGAGCATGACACCGGGTCCGGGTCAGGTACTGACTGTCTGCGAACTGGGCTGGATTCACTAGGGGGGCAGCGCACAGAGGGACAGCCACACCTTGCAGCACAACCATTCGGGGAAAAAAAATAAAAAAAATAAAAGCTTTTAATCCAGCATTCAATCTTCCAGACAAACATGTTAGTTTAAAAAAGCCCGTTCTTTAAATTACACATTAACTTAAAAAATGTTTCAGCCAACAAGGGCCATGTAGTAAAAACACTCGCCCCAATGTTATTCATAATTGGGGAAAAAAAAAACAAGCTGACACGCTGTCTCTCTTCACAATAAGGGAAGGCTTCAGGAAAAGGACTTCTGGGACACTCTCGTCCACTCCATTCCACGGACAGATGAGCTCACGAAGGGACCCGATTCAACTCTTCGAAACCCTCAGGGGCGGCGACACAGTGCGCCCAGCTCTCGCGGCTTCTTCGGTTTGCGGACATTGAGGGGAAAAGGCTTTTTAAGGCAAGGACAGAGCTTCTTTACACAAAGGGGTGCGGGAGCGGGGAACAAAGCGCCCCGTCAACCTGCAGAGCGCAGGGCTTCTTTCACGAAACGGCTGGACGGGACCCCCGATCAGTCTGCTACGAGACCGAGCTGAGGGGGTCCCCCCTTCTGTGTCGCGTCTCAAACGGTGGAGGGAGGGGGCAGGAGTGTGGAGCCGTCCCTCGCGGACTGAGCGTCCTTCCTCAGTGTCCTTCCTCAAAGCGCCCACATGCCAGAGCCCCACCTCCCGTGTCAGCCATACAGCAAGCTGGGGGGGGGGAGAGGAAGCTCTTCAGCTCCCCAGTAAAAA